ATATGATTTGCCAAAGCACGAGGTAGGACTATTGTTCCATAGTGTATGAAACTGTTGCAGTTGAAGAAAATATCCACCAACATCATGTCTATGAAACACATTCATTGTATTCACCTGTTGCTTGTGTGTGTGTTTTGTTTGCAGGTATTTTTAAGTCGTGCTGGGACTGGCTGATACTTGTGGCCACTTTCTACGTGGCCGTGGTGGTGCCGTACAACGCCAGTTTCGTCATGGACCGCGACCGACCGTCCGTGGTCAGCGACGTCGTCGTCGAGGCGCTCTTTTCATAGGTGAGAGAGAGAGAGAGAAAGAGAGGAGAGGAGAGAGAGAGAGAGAGAGGAGAGGAGAGAGAGGAGAGAGAGAGGACGGAGCAGAACGATCGGTAGCTCTCTCATAGGCGAGGAGAGCGACGGAGAGAAGGAGAGGACGAAACAAAGTGACCGTTCTCCGCATTTTTACGAATTTTTACGATTTTTTATTTCCAAGCTTCAAAGCCAATGGAAAAGCAGCTCCGGTGATATAAAGCTTTTGCAGAAATATCTGTTTTTCAGAAGAATAGATTCGCATGTCAGGGACGTCAGGGCCAGGGAACAGTCTATCAGATGTGCTATCTATAAGCAGCGCAGTTCAGTCTGAAGCAGCGGTGAGAAACGGGAGAGGAAGAGAGAAAGAAAGAGAGATATCTCTCTTTTCAGCAATATGCCTCGCCATAACCGTGTGTTCTTTACTCTGGGACTAAATGCCTAAAATGAACTACTAAATACCAAATTCAACAAGTATTCCTGAAATAATCAATAATCGTCACCAGGGTTGTATACGACTCAGTCAATAGCAATCAATTCAATCACGACAAATTTGGGAAACCAATCAAATCAATCAAGTCAGAGCAGTTTTCGGGAATTGATTCAATCGACTCAAACGCGACAATGAAAGGAATCAATCAACTCAATCAAACGACTCAAACCAAGACATACATTAGGTTTTTTGCCCACCAACTTGGAAAAGTGTCCATAGCAGTCGGGTAGGTAGGTACCTACCTACCTACCTATTCGTTTTTCTTAAGTTTGCCCCTCACTGTAAACGTCTTTTTGAACACAGCACGAGAATTGCTAGCTGAATTACTTAGAAAACTGGTTGGCGCACATTGATTTGACCAGATTTGACAGACGATCAATTTGATCAAATTTATTTACTATTTCACAGACTCGTAGCTCGTATTTGCCAATACCTACAGCCCCACAGGGATAGACGACTTCTCGGGAATTATGTCTGAACTAATAAATAAATTGCACGGCGCTTAACATAACGTTAAATCGTCGGTGTTCAAAGCTTATTTTGAAAATATTATTCATATCTACAATACAATGTGCGCCAACCAGTTTTCTCAGTAATTCAGCTAGCAATTCTCGTGCTGTGTTCAAAAAGACGTTTACAGTGAGGGGCAAACTTAAGAAAAACGAACTATACCTACAGAAGAAACATAAAAATATTGTCATTTAAAATTATAAATTGCCATGCCATTCAAAGTTTCTATGTAATAAGGAAGGATACCTAGTGATGGACAGGTGGATCATGATATTGAGGTTCAATGGGTAGAATTGGAGCAGAAGTTTCATTTAATGGGTGCAAAATAACCCAGTAGTTGACTTGCCCCTTAACCCAAATCACCACCTTTCACCTAAAAGTTGTCAATTTAATTTTGGCCATATTCCAACTCCATTTACACTAAATATCAGATATTGCAGTTGAAAGTTGACTGCTCGGATTTTGGCAGTGTTCGTGCTTTGGCCATTTACCCTACACCATGTCTATTTCAATGGATTATATGCATCAATAACATATTAACCATAGGGAAATAGAAATAAATATCTTACCTGTATGTGACGGTTTTGGTTAGACAGAGACTGACGGGCAGCCTGAAAAATCTTTCCACACAATGTGCATTTGAGACGTGGGATGTTGTCAGATTGGGAAGGAAGAGATTTGAAGTATTTAGCGGTCCACGACTCTGGACGTGGCATGTCAATGTTAGGTACCTATGTGAAGAATTCAAAACATTTGTGTTTGAATTTTATTGCAATACAATTTGAAACTGTTAGGACTGGGGGATAGGGATGAGGGTTAAAAAATATATTTAAAAGGAAATGGAGAGGACAGGAACTCTGGAACCACAGTATAAGTTAAGGACAAAGGAAGTGGGAACGAGGAAAATTAAAACGCGAACGGCACGGTGCGACTGCATGAAAACGTTTTGCCAACAAGTATGCTAAGCTTTTATAAATCCTTATTCTACGTCTTTTGATTTTTTGGTAAGATGACGTCATTGATTATCATGTAGTATGGTAGATCATCATAAAATAAATCGGTTATACAACACCAATTTCGTTTTAGTTATTATTTTATTTGAAATAAAACCACTTAAAGGTAGTGTGCCAGCTTTCCTGGACCGTATGGAGTTAATGGCCCAGATAAGGAGAACCGGATTTTTAGAACTTATCCATACCTTCAAAAGTCATGGAAACGTCTTAAATTCTTCAAATTTTGAGTACCCCAGTGCGAAATTCGCCCCGACGGGTTGTCGGTCGTACCCCAACCACATTTCACACCACTATGAACAATAAATGCACACACTGAAATCGCTATTACCGATATGCTCATCCAATCAAGTTTCGATAAACCCGTTCATCATCATCTCCTGCGGTTTCGAACACGCCTGTTAGGTGGCTTCTGATGCTCGTCGAGGTCGGAATTTCCAAATACGCGTGGTGCGTCGGGCCGCGCGCTCTGACTTCGGCCAAGAAAAATGCGTCAGCTGATCTTTGTCATTTCTGCCACTTGCGTGTGGTGAAATGGGGTCATAACTTATAAGACGGCTTTTTCATATCAATTATTTTACATAAAATCATATTTCAAACCATAAATAATGTTCGACAGCCAAATAAAAGAAACAATACCAATACGGGCTTACAGTTTAAGGCTCGACATTGTGTTGTCTACGATTAGACAGCTGATAACTCATTCCCGTACGTCGTATGGTCGTAACACTATAATGACCTTTGCTTATTGTCACAAGTGCGCCGCATTCGCGATTGTTGCCCGACGCCTGTTTGCAGGTGAGCCCACTACAGTTGTTATACATATCTAAAAACCGAAAAACTTTTAGGCGAAAAAGGCACTATTCCAGGCCCATTTTTGATTTTTTTTGCGATATTAGGTAAAAACAGAAGCTTCTTATCCTAGGAAAAATAAAATGGGAAATCTTTCAAAGGTGGCACACTACCTTTAACCCGCGCCCGGCTGGGGGTCCTGGATTTCCACGCCCTGCTGGGGGGGGGGGGTGTTTGAACACCCCCCCCTTGTAACTCGGCTCCTGGGCCACGTAGCGATACGCGGAAGGCGGCGTTCGAAAGAGCGTCAAAAATAATGACGAAATCACTTAGGTCAATTTTTTGGTCAGGTCAAAGGTCAGGTCACCAGAGGTCATTGAAGGCAAAATTTCGCCGATTTCCAGGTCGAATGGCGAAAATTTCCAAGAAGCCAACGCATAACTCGGGAACCAATAGAGCTACAGCGCCGCGGAAAAGCGCATTCGATAGCCCTATTAACGCCCTTTCTGAGTAATTCTCTCAGATTTGACCTAGCGTCAACGGTTTTGCCTGCAGGGGGCAAAAACTGCAAAAATAGCCGATTTTTTCGGAAACAGTTTTTCTGCAATAACTTTTGACCCAAGCCCTGTACGAGCTTACTTTTACCGGCATCGTGTTCCTCTCGTCAAGACGCATCGAATGAACTATAACTTGACCTAGAAAGGTCAACTTGAAAATTTGACCTCAGGTCAAGGTCATGACCTGACCGGAAAGGGTCATGTTGCATATCAGTCGATCCGTATCGTCGAGCTGAACACATCTAAGGCGTTTTCATCGCTCTAGCATGCCTCTATCAAAAGTTATTTGCGAAAAACTGTTAGATACCATTCGTGACCTAAGATGACCTCAGGACATAAACAAGGGTCACGGACACCATTTTCATGTTCAGTGTGTCTAAACCACTTGTAATTCGGTGTTTGGGAATGTTTATAATGTCTTTCATCCAAAAGAGGCGCATTTCATTTTTTCCCCATTGACTTATAATGGGGAGGTCGCAAAATTGACCTGACCTTAGGTCATCGATATCAAAATTCTGAGATATACATTTTGTACATGCTATTGCTCTTAGCAATCGCTGAAAGTTTCAAAGCGATCGGTCACTCGGTGTAGCTATGACAGACATTGAAACATTTATGAGGTGAGGTCACTTCAAGTGATCTGGTGACCTGACCTTGAATGACCTTGGTCTGAAATTTTCACAACATGTGTAGAATTGATGTATGATAAGGTGTACCAAAAACGGCGGCGCTCCGCGCCGCCGTTTTTGAGATATTCGCGAAAAACCACAAGGGGGGGTGTTCAAACACCCCCCCCCCCCAGCAGGGCGCGGGTTAATAATATTCGGTAAAATATTTCAAGGAAAATGAAATATATTAAATATGTTATGCTTAGGCTCTCAGGAGAAAAGGATCAACAAACGTTCTGCTGCAAATTAAACAATGCAGCAAATTAGCTATTAATTAGGCACGTAAACGTAAATAGCGAGACGAAAACGGCGCTTTTGTTTCAGTTATTTTTGTAGGGGTTTCAGATATTTATGGAGTTCAGTGGGTTGTTTCTGAGGAGATGTGGAGATGTGAATTATTAATTAATCACACTTTATTAGTATATAGGGCCTTGCACTTTATCATCTGGATTAGAAAAAACGTTTCCTGCTGAGTGCAGAAAGGTAGGTAGGTGCATCGCCAGGTTCTATCACCAGGATTGGTGCAGTTATTGCAGTTGAAAGTCAAAGTTGGCTGTTCATGTTTAGGCCCTGTTCTTTATTTGGCCATCTACCCCATATTGCAGTTGTGATGACAAGCAGTTTTCAGTGTAGTTTTGTGATCTTTGATGTCATCAATTGGTGTCATTATTTTTCGTCAACTAAAAGTTATTTGAACTCTCCTTTCAATCGACTCAATCATACGAGTCACTCTAATTTTCAGGAATCAAATCAGTCAACCAGTCGCTAAAGTCAAACGAGTCAGTCAACCAGTCATCTCGAAAAGTCAATCGACTCAATCCAATCAACTCAAAATACGCGTTGAAACAAATCAATCAATTCAATCGACTTGATTGGTATACAACCCTGATCGTCACTTATCATCAACAATCAGTTTTCCATCACCAGCTTCAAGTCGGCATTCGCAAAGAGCAGGTCACTCGTATCCTGCTATTTGTCATCACCAATCAATAACCACCAATTATTATCGCCAATCCACCGATCACCATCCACCAATCTAACAATCACCAGTCACCAATCACCATCATCCTTTCTCTGGTTGTTGTTCGCCCTTCCCCGAGTATCATCAGGCGGCCTAAGTCCCGTATCTATCCTCTACGTCGGCAATCGATCCAGCCGCGGCGGCTGAAGGCGAAAACAGTCCACCGTTCCGCCTGATTGGGCCGGTGCGTGACCAGTGAAATCCCACGACGACCGATTCAGAGTGGCCCGAACCGGGTCACGGCATCATCCGTGACCGGAGTCCCGAGCGCACGTCACGCAGAAAGACGCGCACTCAACAAAACCGGAGACGCTTTCGTGAGAGCGCCACGCTCATTTTTCGGGAAAACGAAATTAGATTTTAAGTCCTTGTTGACAAGGTCAGCGTGATGATTGCTGAGATGGTGTTGTAGTTAATTACCTTATAAATTGAAGGTTGTCTTTCACACTGGTATAAATAGAACTGAGGCTCAAATTTATTCAGCCATAGATAGTAGTTTATGATCCAGCATTCATACCTGAACGTGACTTAGACCAAGATAAAGATTGTTGCATGCCAACGGCCAGCAGCATTTAAATATCAGTCCGCTGGGTGTTTACAATAAAATCTGTTATTGTGACTTTGTGTCATATAATGACGCATATTATGGGAATTCATGCTTTCAGCTTATTGACATTCTCTCCCAAAAGGAAATACATTTTGTATATATCCTTGGATGTAAGATGAAAAAAGATGCCGAGCTATGTAAGACAAAAATCACAAGCCCTTTCCCGGTTTCTCACCTCTCGCCGTGTTTCGTTTCTTAGATATCATCCTCAACTTTCGCACCACATACGTGAACAAGAAGGGCGAGGTGGTGTCCAACCCGCGCTACATCGCCACCAACTACCTGAAGGGCTGGTTCATCGTGGACCTGCTGGCGGCACTGCCGTTCGACCTGCTGTTCGCAGCCGACGTCTACAGCTCGGTGAGAAGGAGGCACTGGCCGTCTGTCAGCGAACAGGGGCTGTGCAAGGGTCTGTCGTAGCACCTGCGTTCTGTGGGAATCTGTTAGATTCCATCCACTGTGCTAGTGTCACTCTTCTGAAAAATTTATAAACGGCCAAATTTACATAGCGATAACTGACGTGGTTTGCGATATTTAGATGACGAGTACGCGCTACACAGATGACATGGTGAAAATTGTTCAAAGCATTGTACCTACGTGGTGGGGCATTTTTACGCTCTCTTCTAAGATTTCTGCGGGTACGACCGAAAGACGTTGGACCGATGTATGGCTCATCGCATTTACGGCGCAAGCCTATACACGAGGATGATACTGCCAAGTTTGATGCTTCATCTTTGCATATAATATAGCTGTGATTAGCCTGTTATAAAGGAATGTTACGAACCTGCTCAAGTCTAATCAGTTTTTAAACGGAAAATTGATCGCTATTATAAAACGAACTTTCAACGTTAAAATATTTCGTTTTACACTGTGACATTTGTTAGAAGGCACGCCAAGCACCCTTCGCTGTAGTTTTGATCCTAATTGGGCTCCCGTGCTGTGCTTCAGTGTTGTGGTGGTGTGGCCTAGTCCTATTTATTCATCTGCATGATATGTGTTCCCTCTTTCAGCTGTGGCGCGCTCTTAACATGAAAGGCAAGGTACTTTACGCACGGTGTGACCATTGAGAGTGACGAACTTAACAAATAATTATGATTTTGGAGCGTTTCACCAGAGCTGCATCAGTTCAATTAACGAAAAACGTTGTTTAGGATATCAATGATATCAATATCAATTCAATTCAATTCAATTCAATATCAATTCAATCAGTGATATCAATGTGTTTTGTATGACAGAGTGGGAAAATACTTTCATTTTCAATATCGCTGATAACAAATGAAGTTTAACATGAACGAGAAATTTCCAATCGCCCCACTGTTTTTGTCAGTATGTTTTGAAATTATCCACGCTTTCTGTTTTAATTGTTTAGGTGATCACAGAAACTGACTCATGAGATATATCACTGGCGATTTCTTTTATCGACTAGAATAACGATTTACCTGAACTGAAAAAATACATTAGATTAAAACCCTCGCCGGCCGAGGGAGGAGGGGTGCCACCCCCCCCCCCTCCCTGGGTTTTTTTCGCGATAGCTCCGAACACGCTGGCGAAAGAGAGCTGAAACTTGGCATACCTGACCATTTATTCAAGCTGGATCTTTTGACATCAACCGCATTTTCGGGTCAGGTCAGGTCACTGACCTATGACGTCTTAAGTGAACCTCTGCACGGTCTTCAGGTGTCGCAACTTCACAACGCCCTCACTGCCAGAGGAGCTTTCACCTTTCACAGGGAAATGAAACTTGCAGGATCTAATATCCATTACGAGTCTCACAACTTGTATCGCTCGGATTTTTCCTAAAGGTCATATGAGGTCAGGTCATTTTCGTGACCTCACCATTACCTATAAGTTAATGGGGAAAAACGAAAACTGCTATTCTGGCGCCGGGAACGATCTCCAACTATCTCAAGCACACAGAATCATGATTTGGTGCACTCCTTGCAAGGTTAGATGCGTCACTTTTACAATGTTGACCTTGCGTGACGTCATTTATGACGTGATTAGGGTCATATTAGTTTTTCGTCAATAACTCCTGATCAAATTAAGCTAGCGAGTCGGAAAAGCCACCAATGGACTCAGGAAGACAGGTCTTCCTGAGTCAAATAAAAAGTATATCGTTCGACGCGCCTGAGCAAGGTGACGAGCCCGATGCTGCCAAAATCGCGGCTATGCGGCCGTTTTTTTTTTGTGAAATTATTCACCAAAAACGGAACCGTACCTTGGTGCACTTGACCTGACCTCAGAGGTCACCGGCTGACCTAGGACCTTAAATCGGGTATCAATCTTTGCGTCTCGTAGCAGCGCACACGCTCGTTTTTTCCGCGACGCGCTAGCTCCACCAGGGGCGAAACGGCGAGAGGAGAGGGTTGTACCCCCCCCCCCCCCTCGGCCGGCGCGTAAGTAGAAGACCAATAGGTCCGGCGAGGGTTAAGTACATAAGTTCATGTGATGCAGCTCTGCACCGAACGCATTGTGGCTGACTTATTTGCGGCCTTCCTGCATGTTAGAGCGCAAGTCATGCATGCCTTGTTGTTATCAGTCATATAGGACGCGGACGCATATTTCATCACCTATCAAATAGTTAAGGACCATATTATAGTGAGAAGGTCCATATTATAGTAGGTATATTTAGACCACAGTTGATGGAGGCAAACAGTTAAATGCTTCTTCGGGAATGCAGTAGTATCAATTTCCAGTGCCTGTTGTCCAATACATTCGACGTATTGTTAATGTAGAGGATAATGAATGTTTCATCCGTCTATAAAAAGTATTTCGAAACTTGAAAAGCAAGATAATTTTGCGTTGTATATTTCGGTGAAGAGTACCTTGTGCTACAAAGTCCTTTTGAAAATGCATTTCAAAATGAAAGAACTAAGTAGAATGAGACGTTGCTTACTTAATGGTGCCTCATCAAGACGGTAAAGTATTGCGTTCGCTTATGGAAATGGCGCATGGGTTTTGCAATTCAGCTAATGCATGAAACATGCCACAGTCCATACTGTTCCAAAATGAAGGCACCCAGTTTTGTGATAGCAGTTTTTGTTCTGTTGCGTGGTGTAAGTACCGCATCGTCTTTCTGGGAATCAAACTCAGTGTGTGTGCTGCGTGTTCCTAGGTGGTACCTAGAAATAGTTAAAGCTAGCAATTTGAATTCATTCATTTATTAATCATCAAATATTACTCGGAGGTCAAACTATGACCCTGCCTGGCTGACCTAATAAATCCAGCTGTGACTGCTTTAAATGTGATTGGCCACGATTTATTGTCCGTCCAAATTAGCCTTTCGCTTTAGGCTGTAGCCTGATTACCAATTAGGGACGATTCGAAAGCCGTCATCCGGCGGCTCGATATGGGTGCCATCCGAGTTGGCTCGTTCGTCGCCAACTTGATTACTGAAGTCAATCTGGCAGTGGGAGCGCGGAGCCACGTCGGTCACTCTATGGTGATTGGCGTGCCAGCCCGGGTCAGGGTCTCCCCGCAGCGGGGACATGGCACCGCCGCCGCAACAGCCAATTTCCCCTAAACGAAACACGGGTATGAAAACAGGCGCATAAGCATGGATCTTGAAGAGGTCATACTGTAGGTAGACTAGGTGTAGATTTGCAATGTAAATGTAACAATGAAAAAAGGGATAACGGAATAAAGTAAGCACCAGTTGTAAGGTTGAAGAAAAGCATTGTTGAAACACTAAATGCGCTCCTCAATGATGCCTCTACTAACAAAGCATTCATAATTGTCCATTACAATGTCAAGAACTTTGAAATTGAAGGAGCTTGCCCATAAATATTATATTATCAGAGTCAGGAGCATTTGGGTACGCGCGCTTTTAATGTGACTGGCTCGCTCAGTACTTGGAGCCTCGGAAGTCCGGATGAAATCCCGCAGCATTTCCCCAGTGACGCCAAGAGTTGGCTGCATTTTCTAATTCCGCTCGGCTCCGAGAATGCCCAGGGGTAGCGCCGAATGACCGGTGCCACTCGCTGGAATGAAGTCTCGCCACTGACGGGAAGTATTTGCCTCCTCGGGGAGCACAAATCGCACTCAGGTGCGGTGCGCCAGCCGACCGGAGTGTCACCTGGCTCCTTTGTGTGCGATATTGATCAGCTGGAACTGGAATGGGATAGGGAAGTTCATATCTCGGACTATTCATTCCAAACTAAGAGTAGATACCGGGTAGTTACCGACTAAAGAGCCATAGCTGTCACGGTACCGACATTTTGACTAGGACTGAAACTCTTCTGGGACTTCACATCCGGAGTAGTTTGTTCCATGATTATGTAACGCAGATGCGTTACATTTTTTTCATCTTTCATGCTGAACTGCAAGCTGTGCCACAAGCTGAAACACGGCCATCTGCGAGCGCCGCACAGACACGGTCAGCCGGCTAAATCGGCTGTGATACCCTCTCTCCGTCCCAGCTGCCGTCCACACAGACGGCGCAGTAGGCTCTGACAAACAGGGGTCCTCTATAGATGACCACCCCACTTCATGAGAACCCGGATCTGAAGCCAACAAATAGCATACCGAAACGCGCCATTCTGCCAGCCTCGAGCCATTAATCAGTTTAGCCTTTGGAAAACAAGACTCTGTCCCACGCTCGGCACCCCGCCAGAGAACAAGGAGAGGGGAGTGCAGACCGGCCCTGATTTGAACCAAAACAAGAAAGGGGAGCGGGGACCGACCCGGTTTGTACGAAAACAGGATGAAATGGAACTCGGTCGCCAACGACAAAATATAGGACATCTGGCCGGAGCTGACTTCAAAACAAGGGGGAGCGGAGGGCCAGGCCCGCCACCTGGCACCTCAGGCGCCGTGAGCGCCGGCGGCGAATTCCACCCGATCGCCACGTGAAAGGGTGCGACTGCATGGCCGGGGGTGCCGAACTTCAGCAAATCACGAACGTTTGAAGGCGGAGCCAAACGCACTTTCTGAGAATGGAGGACGAAGATTGGACAAGGAGATGCTGCCCGGCCCTCTGAAGTATGACGTCATCAAAAGTATAAGTTGATGAAACGGAACTGGAACGCTCTCTGGTCCTCGCTCTCTCGGACGACGCATCCCGCGCCGGTGGCACTCTCGGCCCACGTCTCTCGTCTGACATCGCGGACAGCCCACGAGACACCAGCGGCTGGCATCACGGCGCCGGCGGCGCGGCTCTGGCCGCCGGGCCGGGCGCTGGACGGACACGACCATCATGCCAGCGACTCCATCTCAAGTAAGGTCACGCGGTGAACACGGGTGCGCACCTAGTCCCTAAAATCCTTCAAGTAACCCCCCCCTCGTTACTGCTATGTGAGCCACATTATATTCCCCTTTTTAGGTGTCGTCTGCAATGTTTTAGGCCATTCAGTTTAGGTAGT